CTTAGCCACTCTTATCTCTGTGTACGTGGGGGTTAGGGGGTGGGATTTGGTGGAGTTTGATCATCTTTGTGAACAATATTTTTTCCCAAGTCGACCAACTGGGTGATGCCAGTCCCTACCAAATTTGAATTGATGACTCAGAATTAAAATTAGCAAGGCAAGAAAATTCCAAATGAGGTGAGAAAGCAGTAGAAATAGTTCCAGATCCCCTAGTACTGAGCCATTCAATATCATTTCTGATGACAGGGACAGAGCTAGGAACATTCAATGTGGGTGTGAGTCTTTTTCATATACGGAGAGTTGGGTAAGTATTTTTAAGGAAAATAATACATGAATCAGGAACAGTGACTTTGGTTTAACCCCCTGCAGGCTGCAGCTATAAAGACAGCAGGCAATGATGCCTCTTAGTTTTCCTAGAGCTTACCTATGCTTCAGGTCCTTAAAGCAATAGTCAGAAATCTACCATGGTATCAAGCCCAAGTGTTACTTGCAGAAACAAATAAGGTGCAATGATAATCATGTTTTAACAAAAGCAGTGTTGCTAAAGTCATTACATGGAGAGAATCAACCAAACAATTGCTAGAAGGCAAGTTTTGTGGTCCTGCCTCTGCTATAAAGTGACAATGCAAAAAACACCTCCAAATCCGGCACAGCCTTAATTGAGTCCTTACGGCATTTAGAAATTTGCCGTAATTTTCAGAAATGGCTTAAAATAATTGTAGAAGATATGCCAGGAAGCGCAAAAGGCCTCTTTTCGTCTTTTTATGCTTCTGGATTGGAGAGCTCCTAGAGATTCTGGAAGTGTAAGGAAGAAGATAAGGGCCATCTTGAGAGCCTTATTAATATGCATATTAACATGATTTGCTTAGTACCTCCATTACAGTTTCCTCAAAAGTTAAAACAAGTCAGTCCACTGATCAGATTGGTGCATTTTATTTATCCTCATCCTCACAGTCAATAGTGTTTATAGATCCTGAGGTATAGAAATTAACAGGCAGTTTGCTTCTGAGTTCGCCCTACACCTACGAGTATAAAAAGATTTGCCTTTGCAGAATTTTTTTTTTTCTTTTTAAGCACCAGAAATGAAGCCCAAAGTAATTTGGTAAGATGTGTTGCTCAGTTTTTGTATTGCTACAAAGTTATTTGACTACATTTTAGAGGGGTGGATCCCTGTTTAAAAAAAACAACAACAAATGAAATGTGGATTTTCTTTCTGCAGAAACATTGGGAGTTCCCATTTCTATTGACACTACTTATCTTGGTTCTTTCCAGATTTTTGCAAAGACATAATATAAAATATAACCGTTCAGAAGGCAAAGATAACATTGTAGGATCTCAGCTAAGAGCTAAATATTGAGAATCATTCAAAGAATTTCAAACAAGAAGCCTGGCTTAGGGGGTCACGTGTCTGTTTAATCTGTCCCCACTGCATGGAGTGTGACACGCAGCACACGCAGGGAATCAGAACCCCACACGAGGTTAATAAAAATGTACTCTGATTTGATGAAATGATTTATGATTTCTGAGCTACTCCTCTATAAAGAAATTTAAAGTGACTGAGAATATGAGGGATTATCTGCTGGAATGCACTGTGAAGCTAGAAAAAGAAGAGCAGGGAAATATTTGTGAGTTCAAAAAGCTTTTTGACATCTGCTGTTTCTTTTTTTCTTTTCTTTCAGATAGTGCAGAAAATGTGGCATTTCTTTCCTTCTGATTCCAGTCTGCACAAAACCCCAGTCCTGAGCCAGGCACATAGTAGGCCTATAGCAGGTGGTGGAGAAATGAGTCTGAGGTATTGTAATATTACTTCAGGAGCACATTTGTACTGTACTTTTATATTTTCCTATGTTAAGCACCTGCACACACACACACACACACACGCACCTCCCCTGTTTTTGGGGTTGGGAGTGACTTTTATTCTATACAAAGGTTTGGTAGATCAAGGGGTGGAGTGGGAGCGTGTGTGTGTGTGCGGTGACCTTCTCAGAAGGGTACTGGACACCCTGGCAGTCTAGGGTCCTGAGTAAAGAGTAAGACCCAACCTCCGCCACCCGTTCCCGCACCGCCTGTCTGTTGTCTGGGCATCAAGAGAGGGGACATATTACTGGGGGCCAGCTGCCAAAGCCAGGCGGGGTCGAGAGAGAGGTTAAGGTCGGGGAGAGGCGGCTATTGATCCGGCGTGGAATGCGAGACAGAGAGCGCAGCAAGACTAAAGGGGGAGCTGTGAGACCAGACATTAACAGCTTTCAGCGCTAATGATGCCCGTGCCAGACGGGCAAAGGGAAAAAAAGGAGACTGGAGCGGCAGCTGGGATTGCTCGCTGCCTGCACCCGGCAGCCTCTCGGGCGAGGAGGAGGAGGAGGAGGAGGAGGAGGAGGCGGCGGCGGCGGCGGAGGAGGCGGAGGAGGCGGCGGCGGCGGCGGCGGCGAAGGAGGAAAGGGAGGAAGGAGAGGAGGGGGAGGAGGAGGGGGAGGAGAGGGCGAGGGGGCCAGCGCAGGGCTGGGCAGGGGCAGGGCGGTCTCTCCCCGGCCGCCGCGAGGTGGAGCGCGCCGGCGGGTGGCGGCGTGTCCGGCCCTGCGCCGGCCCGCCCGCGCGTCCCTCTTCCCGCCGTCGGGGCAGCGCGGGGCCAATGAGGAAGTGCTCCCCGGGTCCGTCGCGGCCCGCGCCGCCCCCTGCCCGCTACTTCCTGCCAGGGGTGGGGCAGGGGTGCCCCCTCCGCAGACCCCGCCGGCCGAGCTACAGCCGGAGTTCCTGAGCGTCCTGCGCAGTACGCGGAGGGACCCCCTTTCTTGAAGGGGGCTGTCGCGTTCCCCCAGGCCACAGACCGGGTCCCCAGTCCTTGTAACCAACGTCCAAGGGCCGGCGTCGCAGTTTGGGATTTTGGGCGCCGGACTGCCGGCGGAGCCGGGCAACAGGCATGCCGCGGCGATTTGAGTCAGACCTGCCCCCGGTGCTGTGTGACCTTGGGCAAAACGCTGACCCTTTCTGGACTTCACAGCGCCAGTTCTCGGGCGGAGAGCTGACGGCCCTCCCAAATTCAGGAGTGGGCGGGTTGGGATGACCAGTTTGTGGTTTTCTTAAGAAGTTTATTAAAGGTGCGCGTGAGCATTTTTTCTTTCTTAGGCCACTTTCCTGGAAAGATTTTCACGGTGGGGCTAGATGGGGAGAGGGAGAGGTGCTTCTGGACTTTGGACCACTTGGAGGTGGGGTGTGGGTGGGGGTGGTGGGCAGCTGTGTGTAGTCGAGGTGGGGGAAATGCCGACTCCTGCCCACCCCCTCCCTGCCCAGTCCCCACCTCCTCGGATGCCGACCCTGCAGCCCAGTCCGCAAAATTGCATGCTGGGGCACATTTTATTGTTATTAAATTTTGGAGGGGGGTGGTGGTTTGGGCAGGGAGTTCTTTCTCTTCGCACTGCGCTCTAAGTTGTTGGTACCTTCGCCCCACCCAAGACCTTGGGGGCGAGCAAAAACTCCTTGTGTCCCCCAAGGAAAAGGACCCGAAGGAGGCGGCGCGCCCGGAGGCGTCACCGCCTAGCCACTCGCTTGAGTGAAGCCGCCAGAGCCCGGCCTGGGGGCGGGGTGGGGTGGGTGCAGCTGGGCTCGCCGGCGAAGCCCAGCCCTGAGCCAGGCCCCGACCCGCCCTGGCCGCCTCCTGGCCCAGACCAGAGGAACCCTGAGATGGGAGAGGGGTCCAGCGCGCCCAGCCATGGGGCAGGTCATCAAACAGACAAAGTTGGTCGCGGCCTGGAGAGGGACGGGGCGTGGGGTGGGGGAGATGGCCACGCGGCTGCGGCCTGGCCTTGTCCCCAGGCCACGGACAGGCCCCCACAACTCCTCTTGTCCTCGCCGGCTGGAGATCAAACGGCTGACAAGGCAGCTATGTCCTTCCCAGTCTGACGGGCGATTTCAAGTCCTGCCCTGGGCGGAGGCACACTGGAGGTGGGGGTGTGTGTGTGTGCGTGGGGGGGGGGGGCACGTTACTTCCAGGTTTCAGTAATTGTCAGGGGGGGCGAGAGGGGGACTGGGGGACCTGAGGGAGTCCCCCGCACAAGTATCTTCAGAGATCTGACCACGCCCACTTCTGGGTCAGCCCTTGCAAGTCCCTCTCCCACGCGGAGCACTCCTGTCCCCTTACCCCCACGCCTCCAACAGAGCCAGGCCTCAGGGGGTGGGATCCGTGTTTGATCCCAAAGAGTTAATGGGGGGAGCGCACAGACTTGGATGAATATTTCTTACGGAATGGGACTCACACAAGGTCTCATGTTGCCTTTCCCCCGATTGTGCTCTTAATTCTTTCCTTCTCTCAGTATCCTTTATTTTGTCCACTTGGCTCTCCCAGAGTTTGTAATATCAAGATTTCTGTGGAGACACTTTTTGGAAGTTTAACCCCGACCCCCCAATAAAACAAAATAAAACCAACCAACCTACTTCTCCAGCGAGGCGAAACAAACTGACCATCGCCCCCAGTCCCCGTGTCGACCCCAATCCTTTTACACAGCCCCTCCCCCTTTCAATCCAGAAGAGCTTTTGGATGGGTGGGTGGGGACTTGTGTTGATTCAACTTACTTCCACGCACTCAGCTCTCCTCCTCCCTTCTCAGGGGGTCCTGCTCCCAGAGGGGAGGAGGGATGAAGAGGATTTTCTTTTATTTAAAAATATCCTCCTCCCCCTCCCCTTTTGCGCTGCCAGTGCACAGGGAGAAGAGGAGCGCACAAAATCGCTGTTTGCACGTGTGGCCGGCCTGGACTGCGGGTGTGCGCACGGGCGAGTGTGTGTGTGTGTGTGCGCGCGCGCGCGCGCGAGTGTGTCTCTGTGTGTGCTTTCTTGTTCTCTTACAGGGTACAATGTTAAAAAGCCACCGCTAGTCGCCCCCAGTGCTCCGACTCTCTGGGTCTTTTTGTCTCTAGTGCAGATTAAACGTCACGTCCGCACTTGAACTTGAATTTTATCCCATTGTACAGAGGCAGCCCCAGCCATAGAGAGACCGAGAGCTCCCAGAGAACCCGGACTCCGCCATCTTCACGTTGCAATCTATAGCTCCCAGTCCGCGCCCGCACCGACCCAGGCGCACTGGGCGAGCCGCCCCTCAGCCCCGCTCCCCCCGGGCCCGCGGCGCCAGGGGAGCGCTGGGGAGCGCTCGCGGGGACCCGGCAGTTTCTCCGGCCGGCGCCAGCCTGCCAGGTGAACTGGGAAGGAGCCGCTCCTGGAGTCCCCCCAGAGCCTCGGAAGGGTCAGTCTCCGAGAAAAAAACAGGCAGCCCGCAGAAAGCCCAGAAACAACCGAACCGGGGCAGTTTTACATTGCTTTGGGTTTTTTGAGGGGGCGGGGTGAGGGGGTACAAGACAAGTCCCCAAGTTTTCTTTGCTTTTTTTTTTTCTTTTTCTTCTTCTTTTTTTTATTTGTTTGCATTTTTTTCTCCCCCACCCCCCCTCCTGGTAGAAGTGCGCTTTCCACCTACCAGAGCCTGAAACAAAGTGTCAGGAGCCGGTGCAAAATCCGGTTAAGTTCAAGAAGACGTTTGGAAGTCCAGGAGGCCAAGCAGTTTGGAGAAGTGTAAGCGAATTTTTTCCTTCAAAAGAATATATTTTTAAAGAAACCAGCCAGTCCGCGGCAAGCAACAGCAGATTTTTTTTTTTTTTGCCTCTTTCTCCTATTTTGGATCGAGAGATTTTTCTTTCCTTTTTTCCCTTCTCTTTTTCTTTTTGCAAACAAAGCAAAAAACAACATAGAAGAAAGAGCAAAATACAGAAGAAGAGGAGGAAGAGAGGGCAAGAGAGGAAGGGGGGAAAAAAAAACAAAACACCAACCCAGGCAGAAGAGGAGGCGAGGAGGCGCGGCGGCGAAGGCAGCGGCAGCGGCGGCGGCTCGGACCCCCTCCCCCGGCTCCCCCCATCAGTGCAGCTCTCCGGGCGATGCCAGAATAGATGCCGGGGCAATGTCCCGCCGCAAACAGGGCAACCCGCAGCACTTGTCCCAGAGGGAGCTCATCACCCGTAAGTGTCTGCGGCGTGCGCGCCAGGGGCCGGAGGATGGGGCTCCGGGTGCCCGGGGCTGGGTACACAGAGCCGGGCCGAGCGCCGGGGCCGCCCGCGGACTCGCAGAGGCAGCGGCGGCGGCCCAGAGTATGGGGCGGGGGGGAGGGACTGGGGGGGCATAGGAAAGTTTCTTTGCAGCCCTGGGAGTCGGAGCGCTGCGCAGTCAGACGCGCTTCGGGTTCGAGGGCCTGCGGAGCGGGCTCCGGGCCGGGGAGGGGGCGCGCAGGCTGGAGGAGGTGTGTGTGCACGCGGAGCCCGGCTGGACTCTCGCCCCTCCGAGCGGCGTGTGTGGCGGCGGCGGCGCTGGTGGCGGGGTTTGGAGAGGAGGGGGAGGGGGCTGGGGGAGCGGAGGGGGAGGGGGGAGCCGGGAAGTGGGGAAAAGTTGGCGAGCGCGTGGGTCCGCGCTGACGGCGCGGGCGGAGGAGAGCGGGGTGCGCTCCGGCCTAGGAGAGACGTGGGGCGAGGGACGGCCGCCGGCTCCGGGTCCCCGGTCGCTGCACCCGCCCGGTCAGGGCGCCGACCACGCCGGTCCTACGATTCCGCCGCCGCCTTTCTCTCCTCTCCTCCTGCTATTTGCAAAAGAATCCAGCTGCGCGGCTGTTTGCTGGGCTCATGCCCCCCCCCCCCATTTCCCCACCTCCGTCTGTCTCCTGGGATGATCTTGTCTTCTATCCCCCACTCCAAAAAAAAAAAAAAAAAAAAAGGTGGGGGGTTGGGGGCTGGTGAAAAAGCCCCGCCACGGGGAAAAAGAAGGATTGTCAGCTAGGATTAGGAAGACAGGGATGTGCTTGTAAAATAGGGGGAAAAAATAAAAAGAATTAAGAAGAAAGAAAAAAAAAAAAAAGAAGAGAGACCTATCAATCTCTTACCCATCTTTCTATCTCAGTATCTTTCATCTTCCTTCTCTAAATAAACAAGGCAGGTCGCAGTGGAAATCCACCGGCTGAAATCGTGTGGATTTCAAGCAAGTGGCCGGGCAGGCAAAGTCAGGCAGCGGGGCAGAGACTCAGCAGCTTCCAGCGCCCCAGTTGGGTTTATTTAGAAAAGGGAAAAAGCGAGCGCGAGCGGGCCAGGTACTGTGTTTGCAGGGGAGCTCGCCCCGAGTAACCGCACAGTTGCACGGGAAGGTCGGCTCGCAGCGCTCCCTGCCCGGCGCAGCCCGCGGGGCCGCTGCTTCGCGGCGCGCGAACATCTCCCGTGGTCCTTTCTCTCGCGGTGCCTAGGTCGCCGTTGCCTTTTTTTTTTTTTTTAATTGCAATAGTAATAAAACATCCTCTGGGTGCCATCGAGACCGTGGGCAGATTGTGTTCCTGCAATCCTCCAAGCGCCTCGTCGGGCTGGGGCCAGGCAGCCCGCGCGGAGCTGGAGAGGGCTGCGCGCCCAGCCGCAGCCGAGGACTGGCTGTGGGGCGGCCGAGAGCCGAATATTTATGTTATATTTTAAAAAATTTAAATAAATAAATAAATATATAAAGGGGCTCTCCCCTCCCCTGAACACCCAGCATAGGAGCCATCTGCTCGGAGCATTGCCGCTGCCGCCTCTCCTTTGTTGCAGCAGATACATTAGTAAGAATTTGTGGATTTATTATCGTTTTTTGGGGAAGGGAATAGATTTTAAAGTGGGGTTCACCTGGGGAGAGGGATGCGTTTTTGGAGGGAGGGAAGAGAACTTCTCTTTTATTTTTCGCCATTGTAACATCAAAGAAGACTCACTGGTTGCCTTTTAAACAAAATGTTTTACAACCAGATTTGAGCCTGGTTTGATCAAGGTCCTTTTGGCCAGTTGACATTTCATCCTTTACCAAGCCGAAGCTGTCCCTCAGCCCTCCACACCCCCACCCCCTTTAGATGGTGTACTCGTTGTTACAATGTCTATATTTGCAGAGGTTAATTTCTCTGGGAGGCAGTTTGCCCCTCTTGTAGCCTCTGTATAATTGCCAGGGTTGTTTTTGAGGAGGGGGAAGTTGGGGGGGGGGGGTTGGGGAAGGGGGAGTTGTCAGGGCTGCATTGCCAAGCTGGAAGCAGTGAGAGGAGCCAGGAGTGTTTGCAGTTGTGTGTAAGGGGGGGAAGAAGCAGGTAGGTTTGCTTTGCTTTTGCTCTCTCCCCCTGTGGCATTCCTGGGACATCAAGAGAAAGCCCTGGCCAGAAGGACTGGTGGCAGCTGGTTGTGGGGGACAAGGCGTGCCTGGTGCAACAGCCTTCCATCCTTCATTTGTCCCCTCTCTCGCTCAGCCTTGCTCGGAAAGGTGCTGGGGAAAAGCTGCTGCCCCTGGAGCAGGGAGGGAAGGAGAAGAGAGAGGCAAAGGAGAAGAGGTGAGGAGGTGGAGGCGGAGGAGGAGGCAGGGGCAGAGGAAATCTCGCCTGCCTTTCAGGGGCACATGGAGCCCAGGGCATGTGCAGGGGGTCAAGCAGGGAGAGTGGTCCAACCAGTTTTCAGACAAGGCTATTTATTATCAAAAAGCAGCTGGCTTCTCTGTCCTGTGTCACCCAGGAGGTGGGAGTGCGGGCAGGGGGATGGCAAGAATTGGATGCAGTTGAGGTTGCATGGCCTGTGGAAGTGCCTCTCCACAGGGATGCAGGAGTCATGGCTTTAGGGTGCTCTGGAGCCCTGGCAGCAAAAACGAGCGCTGTCACAGCCCTGACCCCGGGTTCACATTCTAGATTTTAAATGCGAAAGAAACTACCCAAAATGTGGTGCAGCTTCGGTGGGGTGGCAGCCCCTGGTTCTTTAGAGACAATGTAACTTAGCATGACTGCTGGTCTGGGAGACAGGAAGAGCACACAAACAGCAAACAATCTTGGGGTAGGGGGCATTGCAGAAGAGCTCTATAGTGAGCCTTGTTAAATGTACAGACAGGGCCCCAGAGAAGAGAAGTATAAAACAGGGTGGGAGACAGCTGGGGATGAAAACCTGGGCTTCTGGTTTGTTTCAAAATGTTTGACCCAGATGGATATGGCTTTTAGAATGGGAGGACGACAGACACAGCTATTAATAAAAACAAACACAAAACAACAGTGACAATAGTGAGGAGGGAGGAAGAGGGGCAGTGGCTGACCAGGCAGAGGGAAGGACGCTGAGCCTGCAGTGCCAGACAGGGAGAGTAGGGGAAATTGCATGAAGTCCCGTCCATGAAGGAGCTCTGAGGCTTTCCGAAGAAACTAAGCTGTCCCTAGTAAATTATACAACCCTAGCAAAGGTGATTTTTTTCAACAACCTACCAACAGGTTTCCTTGGAAGATCAGTAATTTTGTGTATGAATTTACAATTTTGCAAAACAACTAGAGACCCAAGGTTTGACACGGAAGTTAGGCTAACTGTGTTAATTTCACGGTTGCCTTTTAAATTGGGTTTTGCTATAGCTGTGTGTTTTGGAGGCGGCTGGGTTCACAATGACCTTAACTCTGTGGGGTATAGTGTATCTCCAGTTGCCCACAATCTTTCAAGATTGGGCCTCCGATAAATTTCATAAGACATGGGCCCCTCTTTTTTTGGGGGGGTAGCTGGGGGGGAGTGAAGTTTGTCTCCCTTCTGCACAGAAGGGAACCCCATATCATTAGAAGTGTGATATAAGTCAGCTGCTCTGATTCCACGGGAGAATAAAAATGTGTTCATCAAAGGTGTTATGCCAGGCTGATTTTATTCATTTGTAATTCACACCTGAGAGAAAACAGCCGTGAGCGTATTTTAACAACCCTTAATATTTTTAAAGGGTATTCTTTCCCTCCCTGAATATTATGTACATATGCATATTTCTTTCTTTGAGGATGGGAGCTTGCTATCTCCCTATGCCTTGGCCTTGGCGATTTTTTGTGTGGCCTCCAGAATATTTCGTACAAGAAAACGAGTCATTTCTCAAGTGCTAGAGTGAATGCAGTTGCTTTGGTGAAGCCGGCCTTAGGAACATGGAGGGAGGCTGAGGTCAGATGGCTGGGTGTGGCGCTTTGCTGACCACGGTGCAGGACTCCACGGGTCTCACCGACCGAAGAGAAAGGCCAGCTTTGGGTGTATCTGACAGTAATTAGCGGTATGTCTCAGGTGAGATGGAAGCATGCGGAACAGTTCATTTACAGATAGCAGCTTCCGACTGTAGCGAGCACCAGTTTCTAGCGCCTTATCAGTCTCAAGCTCTTGGCGCTGTCTTTCAGCTTAGAACACGTCTTGCACCAGGCCTTCCCTTTTTCCTTTTCATCTCCTTCCTTGATCGCTTTGCATTCTCTGTTGCTTGTTGTGATAAAATACTTTCCAAAATAAACTTTCAGTTGAATTGGCTTTTGGTTGATGGCAAGCCTGAAACGCTGAGCCGCGCCTGGTGCCACTTGGCAGCTAGGGGGAGCTCGGTGCCCGTGTCATGGCTTGGCGCCTTCGCTACAATGGGCCAGGAATGGGCTTCCATCAGCAGCTGAGGCAGTGTGCCTTGCTGCAAAATGTCTTAAGTGTGAAGTTGTAATATTGATTTTCCTGCAGAGATTTGAGCAGGACAAAATGAGAATATAAGTTTGAGAAATCTATTTTCAAGCTATTGGCATTGATTTACAAGCCCTCACTAGGCAGATGGGGGCATTTTTCTTTTTTTCTCTTCTTTTCCTGCTTTTTAAACAATTAAAATGGTTAGTTTTGAATGGGTCTGTGGTCTTGACTTTCTGAAAATTCCATTAGGCTGTTAAGGCATTCGTGATGGAATGAGGGGGGTCTGGGAAGAGCATACATCATTTTGTCCATTTCTGTGTTGCATGTCACAGACCCAGGGAACGGTCGAGAATCACTGCTTTTGGGAGTCATGCTCCTAAAACAGCTTGATGAATGGAAATCCTTTTAGCTCAGGTTTTATAACACTTGGATTCTCAATTTCATTTATTAGGTAATGTTCCCACTGTACTAAGGGAAATAGCACCATTCCCCAAAGATATCAAATGCCAACTCAAATAATGTGTAAAACTTTGTTTGGGAGGAGTATAGGC